ACACACACACACACACACACACACACACACACACACACACACACACACACACACACAAAACTACTCACAGCACGTTCCTGCTTCCGCTTTTTCTTCTGGGCTTTGCTCTGCTGAGAGACAAAGATCAAGTCAGTGTGGGGACAACTGGTCAGGCTGACTGTCCCCTAGGAATATCCCTGTCCTCACGAAGGAGGTGGGAAGGTTGGGAGCATCGTGACCCTCCACATCTGGAGTGGCATAAGGTACCCTAACGTCTATAGATGGCTCAAGAGAGCAGCTGTGGGGTGTGTATGTGTCTGACCAGGAAGATGGTGGTGCCATAGCCAGTGGTGCTGGAGGATGAAGATGCGTTAGGGTGTGCAGGGCAAGGCCAGGGATGGGTGTGTGACTAAATGGGAAGGGCTGGGCCAAGCAAGATGGAGGAGGCACAGGTAGCTGCTGCACAGGCAGGATCTGGAGGCAGGGGTGTGGGGGTGGAGCTGCCTACCTTGGCAGGCTCAAAGTCGGTCTTGTTGTAGCTGCGGGTGAACTCATCCAGCAGCGACTGGAAGACATTGAGGACCAGGTTGGTGTCCTTCTGCCCACGCTCGGCAGCCAGGTTACTGACAACGATCTGGTAGTTCTCCATCAGGTCCTTGTAGCCCACATGGATCTTCCCATTCTGTAGGAACATGACAAGGTGTCCTCACAACCTAGCACGGAGCTGGCTGATGGGGAGCATGGCTGGGCTGTGGAGTGGGGCTGGGAAGGTGTGGGCCGCTGGGGTGGGGCCACCACGCACAGGGACAGAATACATGGTCTTGATGTTGCTCCTGAAGCGCTCAGTGGCCTCAATGAACAAGCTTTCAATGGGTGTCTTCTGTGAGCGAAGGTCGTTCACCTGCAGGGAGAGGGTGATCAGGGTTGCTCACTCTTAATGCAGCCATGAGACCTAGGGCATCTAGAAACCTCTAAATGGAGTACAGGTCAGGCAGGTGGCTGGGGAGAGGCTGGTCCACAGGTTATGGAATAATCCTGCACTGGTCTCTTGCCCTGCATGGCTGGTTCTAGATTACAGGTCATAATGTGCACACGCATTTGAAGATGCTGACAGGACAGGATCCTGAGGGGGTTTGCAGTACTTAAACGGAACCTAGGCCCTTAGGCAGGTAAGGCAAGCATGTATCACTCAGTCAAACTCTAATTCTTCACAGAGTATTCTTTTGGAATAGTTTGGCCTGGAACTTGTGACTGCAGCTGTGCATTTCAAGCAGGAACAGCCAGCTGAGGTGCACTGTGTAGGAGAGCCCTGCACACACTGCACACAGGCTCTCATCAACACTCTACAGCCCTTTGCCTGAAGCTTATGGGATAGGACAGTTGCAGATTGCAACATGGCTTCCCTACACATCCGGGAGTAAGGCTCACACTAAAATGAAGACGGACGCATCGTTCCCCATGCTGACTTCAGATTCAGGATTTAGACCTTCCTTTAAAAATAACTTTAGGTGAGCTGGGTGTTGGTGGCCCATGTCTTTAATCCCAATACTCGGGAGGCAGAGGCAAGAGGATGTGAGTTTGATACTAGCCTGGTTTACAGAGTGAATTCCAAGACAGTTAGGGTTGTTATACAGAGAAATCTACCTCAAAAACCACAAACCACCACAACAAAACACTTGAGGAACTCAAGTTAAGAGAGATGGCTGTTTTTACAGAGGCCCTGGGTTTGATTCTCAGCACCCACATGGGAGCTCAAAGCCACCTGTAAACTTCAGCTTCAGGGAGATCTGATGCCGTCCTGTAGTATCCGTGGGAACTGCATGCATGCAGTGTACATATACATACAGCAAAAATACCGCAACATATTGTTTTTTTAATCTAAAGGAGTTTGTTTGTGTGTGCATGCATGCATGTTACAGCATGAATGGAGGTCAGAGGACAACCGTGGAAACTGTCATCCCAGTGGGTCTGGGCATCAGACTCAGGTCATCAGGCTTGGCAGCAAGTGCCTTTAGTCACCTTTCCTTTTTTCCATAGACCTCATCATGTGCCCAGTTGTCTGGAGCTCAGGTCTGGCCCGAGTGTTACAGAGTCTCTGTGCTCAGCATCCTTGGAGTCTTCTGTACTGTTTAATCCCCTAATGTTGTGGGCAGAACGCAGGCCTTAGGGAGGAGCAGCCACTGACCTGCACTGTCTCTAGCCTGGGCATGGCTATTGACTGACATCCCAGTGGCTGACCTTGTTGAGCAGGAACTCGTCCAGAAACTTGAGCTCATTGGCATTAGTGATTTTACGGAACACCGACTCTCGCCACTTCTCGGACACTGTGATCTGGCCAACCTTGCGATTTCGGTTCTTCTTCCCTTTCAGAGGCTTCTCGCCTGTGGTGTGGCGGTACTGCTGGCTAGATGGCACTGCAGGAACGTGGGGCAGTTGGAGGCAAGGTCGGAAATGGGCACCCAGGTGCGTACCCAGGTCCATAGGCATGACTCTAAGGTCAGGTCCTATGCCCAGGGCTGAGATCCTGCTACTTGGACCTCACAGCTGTGGGTACGGCCAGGCAACTGCTCCTGGAGGTTAAGGGGAACCAACCGTCTAGAGTCTTCCTGGCCAGGGCCTCCTGTGCAGCCTGCCCTCCACTGCCCTCTGTCTCCTCCACACCCTCCAGGCTGGGCTTCTTATCCTTGGCTTTGTGCAGGAAGAGCCGCTTAAATGCAGATCTGCAGGAAAAACAAGCGTTTCTTTTTAACTTTCATTTTTATTGATGGGTGTGAATGTGTCTGTGGGAGGTCTGCTATGTGAGTATAGCACCTTTGGAGGCCCAAGGAGGGTGTAGGGTCCCTCTGGGTTACAGTGACCAGATGTGGGTGCTACCAACTGAACGCAAGTGTTCTTAACCACAAAGTCATCTCTCTAGTCTTCTCTCTCTCTCTCTCTCTCTCTCTCTCTCTCTCTCTCTCTCTCTCT